TCTCACACGGAGCACACAATAGGCTCCAAATAAAGGTTTGCTGGATAAAAATATTTACTCTTACTCTTCATAATCACAATGTGAGGTAACAGTGTTATGACCATTTTACAGAAGAGGAAATTGAGGCCCAGAGAAGGGCAGGCATGCAGCCAATAGGTGGCGAAACTGGGACTCGAGTCTCATCTAATAAATTCAAAGCCAGTGCTTTTTTTCTCTCGGAAATAAATACGCTCCAGGCTCAGCGTTCTCGCTTCTGCCTTCTATCCTTGGGGAGTCGAAGAAATTCCAGGAAGGCAAATCAAGCCTCTGAGCGCAAATCCAAGTAGGGCCAGAGCGAACACCTGTGCCCCCGGCGCCTGCTGGGCTAGGAACAGGGTCTGGACCGGCGGCAAGCATTGGGGGAGGAGTACCCTTCGCGAGGATGCTGGGCCTGGTGGTGACGCTAGAGACCACGATTTCCCCGGACGCTGCGCGTGCAGAAAGGGCGGCGCTGCTGCCCCACGGCATCCTGGGCTGCACTGGTCCCGAGTTCCCTGCGCCTGAGCACCCAGGCCCCCTGACAAACCGCCCGTCGGCACCATAACCACAAACTTCAGCTCCTTGGAGCAAGTGGGCTTTGAAGGCGCAGTTCTGACTCCTGCATATTTCCGGGGAAGAAAATAAAGCCCAGAGCGAGGAAGCAACGCCTCCAGGGTCATCCAGCCGGTGACGCCATGGCTAAGGGTAGAAACCACGTGTCCGGATCCCGGGTGGGCCTCCTCCCACTCACCACAGGGGTTGAGTATGGGGAAAGTGTGGGCAGAGAAGTCCGTTACGGGTCAGGGACAGGCAGGATGGGGCGACAGTGAAAGCGCCTGGGAGAGTCCCAGATGTAACAAACCTGCGCGTCAGAGGTCAGTGGGTAAAGAGAGAACCCATGAAAATCGAGATGTGCGCATGGACCGTTTACCTTCTTCCTAGTCCTGAAAGTCATCCCAGCTCCAGCGGTGACCAGCGCTCTTCCTTTCGCTGAAGCTTTGGGACTGTCTGGCTTGGATCCCGGCTGAGGAGTGCATGGGACCTTCCCGGGACTGGGAGGATAGAAAGGGGGTAGTGAATAAATAGCTTCTCCTAAAGTTCCACATCTTTTTCTGGCAAAATTTTACTCCCTTCCATAGAGCCAATTAAACTCAATAAAACTTTGCATGGAGCCCCTCTACCTAGCAAAATACCGACAACAATTGCCTAGGGGTAAACCTTATACGCCTGAGATAATTACACTAAGCCGGAGGCAACGATTTGCCTGCCAGCGTCCTCAGCGCCAGCCAATATTTGGATAGTGTAGTGTGTGTGTGTGTGTGTGTGTGTGTGTGTGTGTGTGTGTGTGTGTGTGTGTGTTTAAATTACACACGGAAACTTGAAACCGACTGGTTGGTGCCAGGGTGGTTACACGATCTGTTTTTCTTGAACAGAGGTCTGTAGGCAGCTGGAGTGCTCTAGTACCGGCCCCCGCTGATGCTGCTGCGCGCCTGCAAAACTTGCCAGAATTAAATCAACCTCGGGGGAAGGAGGGGAGAAGGGGCGAGAGCGCCCCACAACACAGCCGGGGCTCCGCCGCCCAGCCCTATGCCACGTCGGGATTCCCCCAGAATACTCCGCGGCGGCCAGCCTCTCTCCAAAATGGACAGGCGTCAACCTTTTGGGTCTGCGCTCTCCTCTGCAACTTCGGCCTGGACCGCTGGGCCGGCTGGGCTTCAGGGTCGGGGGGCACTTTCTGCTCTCGCCAAGTGTACCAGGAACATGGAAGCATGAGGACTGAGCACCTCACTCTGCCGTCGCGGTTCTGTTTTGGTCCGCGTTGTGCGGTGGCTCGCGTCCCCAGGCGCCGAGGCCGAGGTGGTGGCGGCCGGGTTTGTCGGTCGTAACGAGCTCACTGGCGAGCGCCGGGCTCACAGCTTTATAGTGCTCAGATTGTGCGCGTTAGGCTTACCCACGCACTTTTGAAGGGCCCCCTCCCCTCGTTCTGTCCCCAGACAACAAGGAGACCCCTTGCCCGACGGGAATTCCCCTGAACTGCTCCCCTGGAGGAGGCGCTGCTTTTCCGGAGGCCCGCGGAAAATATATTCTCGCAAGGCGTCAACAAAAGCTGCCTTTGCTCGTGCTGCGTGCGGGACCAGGGCAGAAATAGCCTTTGAGCGCTCGACATGCCGAGCTCCCACCAGCGGCCTGAACAGGGCTGTTCTCGCACCACGTCTGTCAGGGGAGAAGGGGACAACCGTCCCCCGCGGGCTCTAGCTGACACTGTAACTGTAGGCATCCTCGGAATCCCTCCGTGACCTCGCGAGGCCAGGAGGCCGTCTGCTGCTCGGCTCCTTAAACTGCCTTGGCGGACAAGAAATGCCCCCCAAAAAACTCCATTGGCGGAATGAACTTTGTGCCTGAGTGACAGCGAAAGTATCCAACTCTGAAAGGGTCTCCTTCACTTAGGGCAGGCCAAGAGGCTGCTCTTTCCCCCGGGGCCCTCTGGCACACTTTACCTTAACTGTTTTTACTATTCTAAAACAGCTTCTGGCCTAAGACAAATGGGCCAAATAGCACTAGCCAGAAAGCTAGTTCCTGACTAAAGATGAAAATTATGCATCTGCTCACCGCACTCCTACGACCCGACCCGACAGGCAGACAGCCCGTCTCGCGGTCCTTCCCTCGGGCAGCTCACCGAAAGTCGTAAGCTAAAAACACGCGACCTGGTGTCGCCAAGGTTGGAGGGTAAGAAGCAAGCTCCCAGGCAGTCTGGGCCAATCGCCTTCTGCTTTCAGATTTAGACATGGAAAAGAAAAAATTAAAAACCGAATGAATCACAGTCCTTAATACATATGGCTTTTTTCTTCCCAACTCGCGGAACTGGAAGGGGCTCGTGAAATTTCCAACTCAAGACATCTCATTTTACAAATAATGAAACTGAGGCCCAGAGACTGGAAGAGGGTTGTGTTGTTGTTGTTGTTGTTGTTGTTGTTGTTGTTGTTGTTTTCACCCCTAAACTCTGCTTTTCCTCCTAGCCCAAGGGCATTCGCAGCCAAAACCAGAATATAACTATGGGTTCTCTTTGCAGTCTACTGGGATTCCGTGCTGGGTTGTGCGGATGAGTGCGAGCTGGAACCTCGTTCTCCACCTCAACAAGCACTGGGAACTCAGCGCTGCGGGGTCATCACCTTTCCCTCACAGGTCACACCAGGCCCCTGTGGATTGATCATTTTGACCTCTTATTTGATTTTCATTATCTCCCTTCCCTAGACGTGCTAAAAATGGCAAAGACTTCGTTTGGACACACCCAGGTGATGGGATGGGACCTCGGTGATCCCAACTCCTCCCTCTGGCCCCAGCTCAAACGTCACCACGCCAGAGAAATGCTTGACCCTATCCCATCCACCCGCTCTTGAGAAGCGCGGTGGAGCCTCCAGCCACCAATCCCTTAGTACCTATATTAATTTCCTGGTTACTGTCAGCTCTCCCTCTAGACCACGGTCCTGGAGCGCGGAGAGCTGTCTCCTGCCAACTTATACCTGGCGCCATCCATGGGCCTTACATACAGTTGGTGCACAATTAAGTTGTGATGAAGTTAGCATATGACGAAAATGTCCCTGGCTCTCGTCCACATGAGGTCTTCCCTACAACCCTTCAGACACTGGCATTTTTTTGCAAAGAGGCTTTGAGGTCACGGTTCTCCGAACTTGGCCCAGAATGGCTAGTCCAGGAGAAAGGTAGTATAGGGAGAGAGCATCAGAGCTGGTAGGTGGAAAAGAGTGAAAGGGCAGAGAGAGGCTGGAGATGCAGAAGGGCAGAGGGAAAAGTAGCGTCCAGTGCCCTGCTGCCTTGTGTGGCGACCCGGGTGGGGTGCAGCAGCGGGGACCGCAATCGATAGCTGGGTGCTACGAATGAATGGTAAATAATACTGGGGGTGGGGGCGCCAGGAACCGGGCGGAGGAGGGGGCGGGAGGGGGGTCGAGGCACCGCGCCTCTTGCCCGGTCTTCAGCGAGAGACGCGGCGGCGGCGCGGAGTCCCTCAGCCTCGGTCATGTGATAGTCTCGAAGCGTGAGCTACGGGGGTCTCGGCGTCTCCGGGACCATTACAAAACGCAGCCAGGAGAGTGCGTCGCTGCCACAGCCGCCGCCGCCGCCTCTCCATCTCAAGACCGGCCCGGGAGAGCGGCGGCAGCTGCGACGCGGACCGCGGAGCTGGCCTCGGCTAGTTTCGCCGCCTCCCGGCATTCGCAGACGCCCCCTCAGATCCACGGTTCGCGCCCCGCCCGCGCCCCCGCCCCTCCTCAAAGCCTGCATGCGCCACGGCTGCAGAAACCGCCAAACTTTTTCCCCCATGCGACTGCCTACAGCTCTATCCCCAGCTTCCCCGCGAGCCGCGGGAGAAAAGGGTGACGCAGGCTGCCAGGAGCCGGGCTTCCTTCTTACCTCACCTCTCCCCTCCAGGAAAACAGAACTCCAGATCGGACTAAGTGGCGGGTCAAGGGGCAGAGCTGTGTGCTGCCAAGCCCGGTCTCCAGGACAGCGAGTGCCGTTTCGGATTTAAAGGGCCAGAATTCTGACTGTCCAGTCCTTCCTCCCAGCCCACTTGGCCTGCGCTGGACCAAGAAAAAGCCAGAAGGAGACTGGAAGGGAACAGGGGCCCTCCCCACTCTTCGAACGCCAGTTCCAGCGCTCAGTCTCTGGCCACCAGCGGAAAGACGCCTAGAGGGTGGCAGTGAAGCTGGCGCGCCCCGCCCGCGACAGTGCGCGCCAGTCAGCGACCGTCGGGGCCAGAAGTTGTGAGCATCAAGAGCTAAGTTGGCCTCAGAGGCCAAGTGCAGAGGCCCCAGGCAGCTGAGAGAAGGCGGGAGATAAACGGCAGGAGGGTCTAGGAGGAAAGAGGGCGGAGTGGCAGGGCTGGGCGGGCGGAGTGGTGGTTAGTAGAGACAGCAAGGTCCCGGAGCGGGCGGCGGAGCCAGTGGGCGGTGGAGGCGCCAGGGGCAATGCCTCGGCCGGGGAAGAGTTCGTACAGCGACCAAAAGCCACCCTACTCATACATCTCGCTGACCGCCATGGCCATCCAGCACTCGGCGGAGAAGATGCTGCCGCTGAGCGACATCTACAAGTTCATCATGGAGCGTTTCCCCTACTACCGCGAGCACACGCAGCGTTGGCAGAACAGCCTGCGCCACAACCTCTCCTTCAACGACTGCTTCATCAAGATCCCGAGGCGGCCCGACCAGCCCGGCAAAGGCAGCTTCTGGGCGCTGCATCCCGACTGCGGCGACATGTTCGAGAACGGCAGCTTCCTGCGGCGCCGCAAGCGCTTCAAGGTGCTGCGCGCGGACCACACTCACCTGCACGCGGGAAGCACCAAGGGCGCGCCAGGTGCGGGGCCCGGAGGGCACCTGCACCCCCATCACTCCCACCACCCGCACCACCACCACCATCACGCTGCGGCTCACCACCATCACCACCACCCGCCCCAGCCGCCGCCGCCTCCGCCACCGCCGCACATGGTGCATTATTTCCACCAGCAGCCTCCTCCGGCTCCGCAGCCGCAGCCGCACCTCCCGTCTCAGCCGCCACAGCAGCCGTCCCAGCAGTCGCAGCCTCAACAGCCGTCTCATCCCGGCAAGATGCAGGAGGCGGCGGCCGTGGCGGCGGCGGCGGCGGCGGCGGCGGCCGCAGCAGTTGGTAGCGTGGGGCGCCTGTCGCAGTTCCCGCCCTATGGGCTGGGCTCGGCCGCCGCCGCCGCAGCCGCCGCCGCGGCGTCCACGTCGGGCTTCAAGCACCCATTCGCCATCGAGAACATCATCGGCCGGGACTACAAGGGCGTGCTGCAGGCCAGCGGGTTGCCCTTAGCCTCGGTCATGCACCACCTGGGTTATCCTGTGCCAGGCCAGCTCGGCAACGTCGTCAGCTCCGTGTGGCCGCACGTCGGTGTCATGGATTCGGTGGCCGCGGCCGCCGCGGCCGCTGCCGCCGCGGGGGTGCCTGTAGGCCCGGAGTATGGAGCCTTCGGTGTACCGGTCAAGGCCCTGTGCCACTCTGCCAGCCAGAGCCTGCCTGCGGTGCCGGTGCCCATAAAGCCGACTCCAGCGCTGCCGCCCGTAGCTGCGCTGCCGCCGACACTCACTGTCCCTGCGGCCGCACAGCAGCCGCCGGCGCCGTCCACCGTGTGCCCGGCGGCCTCGACCTCGCCCGCCGCCTCCCTGCTGGAGCCCACCGCCGCGAGCGCGAACGAGAGCAAGGGTGGCTCCCTGCACTCGGTGCTGGTGCACTCCTAAGTACACAGCAGGCGGGGGAAAGACGAATACAGAAAGAGACATCTGGTCCCCGCACCTCGGGAGAGGGAGAGCGTTCCCAGACCAGGCCCGGCTGAGCCCCAGCCTATTCGGGAAAGGTATTTAAACAGACAAGTAACCCCGAAAGTGGATTTTCCAGTGATCTGAATAAATATAACACTTCTGGTGTCTGTGTTTGTACAATGTTGTACAATCAGATTAATGAAAGCCAATTTTCAGGTAAGAGTTTCTATTGTAATTAATATTATAAATCACTAAGTTATAGGGGGTAGGGACAAAGGAGTTTGGGGAAGCCTCATTAGCAGGTAAATTGGAAATGGATTTCGACTCTTGTTCCTGGGACCAGAAGGTGTAGGATCTAAACATCGCGGGGAGAAATGCAACAGAGTGACGCTGAAAACAGACTGCAGCCATCAAGTTTCTCTCGGTTAGTCTCGTACCAGGGCAGCATGCCTCTCGTGGAACATTCAAGACAAAACTGCTATTCACTGAGAATATCTCGTTTCGTTTAAGAAGGAAAAGGGGGAGCGTTTGATATCGTTGTTTTCCTGGTCAGGGAAATGGGCAAGGAAACGGTATTATGAATAAAGCCGCATTAGGAGGCAGTGGGGACACCATGAAGGATCTTGGGAAACAGTTAAGTTTCTTGGCTCTGACCCTGGGGTCGAGAAGGATAGGAGGAACAGCTAAGCAATTAGTTTGCACAAAAGAGAATAGCAGCGGCTTAAAGAGCAAAGCCCCAGATTCCAAAAGTTGAGGAAACACAACCAAAGAGACAATAAAAGGCGACTTTCTACCTGCAATTCGTTTGTGTATCAATCGGATTAAACCGTTAAGAAGCCCCCATAAAAGGTGAATTCTCATGATCTGTTCCATTGGGATTTTAAATAGGAAAAAAAAAAAATCACTTGCATCATGGAATTTTGTCCCCTAACTCACGAATGCAAGAAAATCCTGCCACATCACCTTAAAAATGCTGCTCTTATAAGGCTTACAGGAGCTTTTCGTGGCTGTTGCCTCCCAGCCTCCTTGGGACAAATGGCAGAGAATGACCCAGTCACCTTTGCACGCTGCAATCAATGTAAGTGGAAAAGAAACCTGGTTTGTCGCTGTTGCTCCTTCCCCCTTTTTGAGCCCCAGTAATAGCACTTTACTTGCAACAAACTTTTGGGAATGGTGGGTGGCCGGTAGGGAGGAGGCAGCGGCTCCTTGCCTCTAAGTCACCTCTGGTTTGTGTCCGCGCCGCGTTCGGGTTGTGACTTTGTGACAAGTTCATGTCTGCCTGTGTTGTACGCGGTGTTCTCCATTAAAGCTTCTCCATGGATATGCCGCTGCGGGTGTGAAGGTGTCTCGCTTCTCAAGAAACCAGGCCGCGTTCTGAGTGCCTTCTGCGCGGTCAGAGGACTTGACACATCCTCCGGTCCCCTTTCTTTCTTACCGTCAGAGCTTCAAAGGGGTGAGTTCACAGACCAGCCACCAGCAGGGATGCGTTTCCCCCACTACACCTTTCAGCAGTGGCGCATTTATCTCCTCTACTACCCATTCTTATTTACCATGCTGCTTTCCTAACTGAGCTCTATCCCATTTCTGTGCTAGAAATTGAATTAGCCAAAAAACAAAACAAAACAAAAAAGGTAACTGATTTGTTGTTGTTCGTACGTGAGGTACACATCAATACGCCATCACCACCACCCAACCCCCTTTTCCCTTTTCTGGAGTCCTTGAGGGCAGGCGGAGGCTGGGGACTCGGTTCCATTGGGTAGGTATCCAGCGGCGCCCCCTTAAGTCTGCGGGGCTGGCAGGGGACCGGGAGGTTGGCGCCGGGATGCTGCCGCTGCTGTCGCGACTGACTTTAACGAGGAGCTCGAGCTCCGCCACCGAGGCCTGGGGACCTGTTGCGCGCAGGCGCCGGCTGCGTCCTGGGCGAGCTGGGCTTCGGGGACCGCGGCAGCTGGAGGCCCTGGGTCGCAGAGTGCCAGGCCCACGAGAGCCGGGGGGCCTGCAGGCTGCAGCTATGGCGGTGCTGTGCGGGGAGCTGGCGAGGTGGCTCGTTCCCCTGCGGGGGACCCCGCTGGGGCCAGAGAGCCGCCGCGCGGCCTCTGCCCTTCACCCACGAACAGCGCTCCATCTTGAACCGGTTTCCCTCTGCCGAGCCAGCCGAACGGAAGCCTCCTCTAACCTTTCCTCGGAAGACAGTAAAGGGCCAAGAGGACTTGCGCACGGTAATGACACTGGGCGGAGGTGTACTGTCAAACAGGTGTTTCCAAGCATCCCTTATTTACAACTCCTTGCAGCATGCGACTACGTTCTGGCCAGGCCTGGGAAACGCGTCCCGGCTCAGGTCACTGCCTCCTCGGGGGCCCAGACGATTCTAGTGCATCTCATTCTGTCTGAGACCCCGCATGATTTTCCTCTACAGTTTGATGTTCCTGAAAGACCAAAAAAGGGGGGAACTCTGACGTGGCGGTCACAGACTTGCGAGTCTGGTTTCTGTGTCCACCTCTGGGTGAGTTGGTGCGCGGGGACTCCTAGTTCAGACGCGAAGAGTTACTCCGCCTGAAGAAGAAGTCCTGGATTCTGGGAGTTTTTTCCAAAGAACATCCTTCTTCTCCACCTGCCCGAAAGGGCCAGTGAACTTTTTAGCGATGCCCATGGTCCCACTCCCCGGAAAGGGCAGAGGCCCAAGGTGATGTTTGGCAGGCGAAGGAATGGCCTGAGTGACAGCCCCTCCAGAGGAGAGAAGAGGCTGTGGGTCATGCCCCGAGAAGGGTGAATAATTGACCCTCACCGTTTTCCTGAACTCTCTTAGCACCCAGTCCCACACCCACACACACCCGTAGCACCCCTTCTACCTCTGTGAGGAAAACCTGGTTGTTTTGTTTTGCTTTCACTGTAAGGAGAGAGAGAAAGGATAGAAGGCAGCGTGGGCTTAGAAATGATTGCACTCACGTTTTCTTCCTGGGGGAGACCCTGGTACTCAAAGGAAGCTATCCATGGCATTTAGACTGGAGAACACTGAGATTCGTGTAAACAAACACAGGGGGAGGAGCTTTCTGCCAAAGCTCTGATCCCAAGGGAGGTCCCAATTAAAGCCCTGAAGACCCCCACCACCAACAACTAAGATGGGATCTGTAGTCTAACTGTAGCTGTATTGTGAGGGGCTTCATTCCCACAAGCAGCCACCACCAATTGCCAAGCTGGGAGTTGGCAGATTTCCTCTGGGCAGACTTCTGAGATACCAGCACTGGGAGGTCCCCAGGCCCTGGCTCACTGCTCCCCCAGAATCAGATCTTCATACCCATGTGCCAAAAAACACTCAAAGACGCTGAACCAGATTCAGTACTTATTTTAAATGTTTAAATAGGGGTCAAGCCCAGCTGGTTTGGCTCACTGGTGGAGTACTGACCCATGCAGCAGGAGGTCACCAAATCTATTCAGGTCAGGGCAAATGCCCAGGTTGTGGGCCAGGTCCCCAGTGGGGGGACATGCAGGAGGAGGTCAATCAATGGAGGTTCTCTGTCATAGATGTTTCCATCTCTCCCTCCCTCTCCTTTAATTTCGCTCTAAAATCAGTAAAGAAAAACAAGTAAATAAATAAATAGGGGTCAAACCATTTCTTTAAAGTATAGTTCTGGTAATCTATGTATACAGAGAAACACTAAAACTAATAATAATAAACTGATGGTGATATTTTGGTAACCCTCCCAAAATGTGCATGTGATCCAATATGATTTCACAGGTATTTGCTCTCTAGCTACAGGTTGGGGCACAGGAAAATTAAGTTTGGGACCTAAGTGGGATGGAAGTAAAAGACATATATTTATGACCATCTCAGTTCACAAGTTTAATAAAATCACTAAGTACTGGTGAAGATACCATGAAATTATGCTGCTCATTTCCAGGATATTAGAAAAAAACAAGTTAGTAGTTGCTTAACCTGTATCCCACTGCATTGAATGCACAGAACCCAGAGAAAGATGGGGAGAAGCAAGAAGGAGGGAGAAAGGTTTTAGTGTAGATGTCCTTAAAAGAAAACTAGAAGAAAAACAACTTGGAATAATCTATTTGATTATATTTCCCTGGGAAGCTAAGACAAGAGCTAAGGGCCGAGGGAGGGTGAAGCTTTTTCAGCTGTGGTCCCTAGGAGAACAGGCCCTCCTGCAAAGGCCAGGATCGGCACAGTTGGCATCTGGCACTTAGGAAGCCTGTCAGTCAGGCTGGCTTGTGGTCAATTATCTCCGTAAGTAGACTGGCATTAGTCCAGCCAGGGAGGAGGGCTGGTTGCATCCAGGGGAATCAGAGCCAGTTAGCTGGAAGTGGCACTGCTGAACTCCACGCATCTTTGCACTGCAAGGTTTGGAAGGCTGATCAACACCTCTCCTGGGACTCAAAGGTGACATTTGCCTGCTTGGCACTAGTACAGACATACTCCAGAAGAGTATGGAAAGAGAATGCCTCAGGAGAAGAAACACTGATCACCAAAGCCCCTGAGTCCCCTTCAATTCCATTCACCAACAAAATTGCCATTTCTGATGTGCACAAAAGTATAGAGATTGTTATACATTGTGGTGGGATTTGGTTCCCATTGGATAACAATAGTCATTTTTCACTTACCTAACTATAAAATGGGTGCAAAGATATTTTGGAAGCATGTTCGGGGTTGGATGATGTGACGGGGGTTTGAAGTGGTATTGCTGTTCATCAGACTGTGCATGTGTGATCCTGCACTGGGAGTGGGGCAGGATAGAGTCCATATTGAAAATAGGAAATTTATCCCTGGCTGGTGTGGTTCAGTGGTTAGAGTGCCAGCCTGAGCAGTGAAGGGTTGCAGGTTCGACTTCTGGCCCCTGTCAAGGCACATGCAGGGAGCAACCAATCAGTGTGTCTCTCTTACATCCATCTTTCTAGCTTGTTCTCTCCCCACCTCCCTCCCTCCCTTCCACTCTCTCTGAAAATCAATGGAAAAAGTATTCTCAGGTGAA